CTTTTGATAATGTCCCTTGATATAGTTTTTTTTTTAATTTTGATGAAATCCAATTGATAAAGATTTTTCTTTTGTTGCCTGTGGTTTTGGTGTCATATCCAAAAGAATCAGTGTCAAATACAGTGTCATGAAGCTTTTCCCCTATGTTTTTTCCAAGACTTTTATTGTTTTAACTTGTATGTTTAGACCTCTGACCAATTTTGAGTCATTTTTGTATATGATGTAAGGTATGTGTCCAACTTCATTCTTATTGAAAAGACTATCCTTTCCACATTGAACGGTCTTAACACTGGAGTCAAAAATATGTTGGACCATGTATGTGAGACTTTATTTCTGGGCTCCTTTTTTTATTCCATTGTCTATATGTCTATGTTTATGTACTGTACTATTTTGATTACTATAGTTTTTATTGTTAGTTTTGAGATTGGGATGTGTGAGTCTTCCAACTTTGTTCTTTATTTTTAAGAGTATTTTGGTTATTCAGTGTTCTTGAGATTCCGTATGAATTTTAGGATGACTTATCCTATTCTGTAAAAAATGTCTTGAGATTTTGATTGGGACTCCACTGAATCTGTAAATTGCATTGGGGTAGCATTGACATTTTAATGGTATTAAGATTTTCAGTCTTAGGGCCTGGGTGGCTCAGTAGGTTGAGCGTCCAACTTTGGCCCAGGTCACGATCTCACAATTCGTGGGTTCGAGCCCTGCATTGGGCTCTGTGCTGACAGCTAGCTCAGAGCCTGGAGCCTGCTTCAGATCCTGTGTCTCCCTCTCTCTCTGCCCCTACCCTGCTCATGCTGTCTCTATCTCTGTCTCAGAAATAAATAAAAATTTAGAAAAAAGATTTTCAATCTGTGAGCATGGGGCAGCTTTCCACTTATTTATATCTGCATTAATATTTTCAACATTGTTTTGTAGTTTTCAGTATCACATTTTTGTCATTTTGAATAAATGTATTTCTAAATATTGTTTTCTTTTTGATGCTAATGTAAATAGAATTGGTTCCTTAATTTCTTTTTCGTATTGCTCATTGTTAATGAGTGGAAGTTCAACTGACTTTTCTTAATCTCTTTATTGAGTATGACTGAAATTCAAAAAGCTGTACATATCTAATGTATACAATTTGATGAGCCTGGAGATCATAATATCCCTGTGAAAACATCACCACAATGAAAGCCATAAACCTATCCATCACTGCCAAAAGCTTTCCTCTCATTCCCTTTATGTATTATTATTTATGTTTCTTTGCTTATTTACTCATATACATTTTTTCTTTTGTGGTTAACAGCACTTAAGATCTACCTTCTTAGCATATTATTAAGTATACCATACAGTGTTGTCAATATAGACCCTGTAATGTACATTTGATCTCCAGAACTTACTCATTTTGCATAACTGAAACTTTGTACCCTTTGACTAACCAACATCTCGTTTTTCACTCTTCCCAGCCCTGGTAACCATTATCCTATGCAGTGGTTTTAAATTTTACTATTTAAATTTCTCTTAAGAGTGGGATCATGCATTATTTGTCCTTTGTCTGGTTTATTTCACTTAGCATAATGTTCTTCAGGTACATCCATGTCATTGCAAATGTCAGGATTTTCTCTGTTTTAAAGGCTCACTGATATTCTATTGTATTTATACACCACATTTTTTAATTCATTCATTCTTTGATGGACAATTAGGTTGTTTCCCTATCTTGATTATTATGAATAATGCTGCAATGAATATCGGAGTATAGATATCTTTTTGAGATCTTCAGTACTTTTGGATATATACTAAATGTGTGATTTTGGGTCATATAGTATTGTTTTCTTTTAATTTTTCTTTTCTATTTTATTTTTATTTGAGAAAGAGAGCCTGCAAGTGGGGGAGAGGGGCAGAGAGACAAAGAGACAGAGAGAGAAAAAGAGAGAGAATTCCAAGCCAACTCCATGCTCAGTGCAGAGCCCAACACGAGGCTTGATCCCATGACCCTGGGGTCATCATCTGAGCCGAAATCAAGAGTTGAATGCCCAACCACTAAGCCGTCCGAGTACTCCGGATCATATAGTATTTCTGTGTTTAGCTTTTTGAGGAATCTCTATACTGTTTTCCACAGTGGCTGTACCAGTTTGCATTTCTACCAACAGTGTAGAAATGTGTACATTTTGTGTACAAGGTGCCCCGTTTCTCAACATCCTTACCAATGTGTATGTTTTATTTTTTTTGTAATGGCCATTCTAACAGGTGTGAGGTGATATCTTACTGTGATTTTTATTTGCATTTCCCTGATGATGTTATGTTGAACTCCTTTTTATATACCTGTGGCCATTTGTATGTCTTCTTTTGAGAAATGTCTCAAGGTCCTTTGCCTATTTTTAAATAAGTTTTGTTTAAGTTTATTTATTTATTTTTGAAAGAAAGAGAGCACAGGGCAGAGAGGGGCGGGAGGTGGGGGGGACAGAGGATCTGGAGCAGACTCTGTGTTGACAGCAGAGAGCCCTATGTGAGGCTTGAATCCACAAATCGTAAGATCATGACCTGAGTCAGTCAGATTAACTGACTGAGCCACCCAGGTGCCCCTAAATCAGTTTTTTTTTTTAAATTATTATTGAGTTGTAGGAGTTCTTCTATAATTTGAATATTAACCTCTTATTAGATTTATGGTTTGTAAATAGTTTCTTCCATTCCATAGGTTGCCTTTTCATTTTGCTGATTGTTTCCTTTGCCAGGCATTCATTTTTTAGTTTGATAATCCCATTTGTCTATTTTTTCCTTTTGTTGTCTGTGCTTTTGGTGTCTTATCCAAGAATTCATTGTAAAATGCAACATTTCACTTTTCCCCTAGGTTTTTTTCTAAGAGTTTTATGGTTTCAGGTTTTAGAGTTATGTCTCTTATCCATAGCATCCTGTCATTTCATTCTGAAGGACTCCCTCCCTTTACCATTTGTTCTAAGGTAGTTTGCGAATAAGGCCTGTTGAAGGCAATGAGTCTGTGGGGACTGGGAAACCGGATACTACCTGTTCAAGGCCAAGGCCACTGCTACTGTGGGGAAAAGGAGGGACAATGCAAATAAAAATGCCACTGAGCTTTCCTGCAATTTTAAATATGGCTTTTTCTCACTTGAATGTTTGCTTGGTTGCTGTAAATCTTGGGTGTTCAGAGCCCCTACACAATTCGTTCAGATAGTTTCAGGTTTTCTTCACGTTTTTGTGGGGAAATGAGAGCTTGGAACTTATACTGTTTTTTTAACCTATCAAATTGGCAATAAAAGAAATTGTGAAATTTATAGAGTGAGTTTTGGGAAACTGGTGTTGATGACTATGCTGGGAGAGTAGTCTGTAGTTGTGTGTGTGTGTGTGTGTGTGTACATTTATATGTATAAGTGTGTGTATACATGTTATCAGTATGTATGTTTTCATGTGTATATATGTGTGTGTATATACATGTGTACTGGTATATATATATATATATGTATGTATTTGCTTGCATGTATGTATATTACATATTTATCTGAAAAGACTTAAAATACTAATATCATCTGACCTAGAAGTACAACTCCTAGAAATTTGGCTTAAGGAAATAATCATGGATGATTACTGGATGAAGTAATCATGGATGGGGAGTTTTGACTACAAGGATATGTACTGTCCATATTCCTTATAGTAATGAATACTGGCAGCAATATTTATGTCCAACAGTAGGGGCTGGTTAAAACATGATCATCCACCAGGCAGTGAAATGGCACACAGCCACTAAAAGTTATGTTAAGGAAGAATAATATGTCAGTGAACTTATAGTTATTAAGGTATTATTCTTTAGTTTTTGAGGTGAGGGAGGGGCAGAGAGAGAGAGAGAGAGAGAGAGAGAGAGAGAGAGAATCTTAAGCAGGCTCCACACCCAGCACAGAGCCTGACGAGATGTGGGACTCTATCTCACTACTGTGAGATCCTGACCTAAGCCAAATCCAGAGTTGGACTTTTAACCAACTGAGCCACCCAGGTGCCCCTTAAAATATATTTTAAAATCAACTAAGTTTATTTTAAAAAATTATCTGACCTCCCTCACTCTAGTAGCAATCTTTAGTGCCTTGAGTCAGGCTATTTAAGAGTTGCCCCCTCCCCAAACTCTTCTAACCTTGGTCCTCTTGGATTTCTTCCTATTTTGGGTCTCACAGCCCTTGTGGATTTACTTAACTCACTTTACAGAGCATTAATTACCGCTGAACTTAAGGCAGCAATTCCTTGAGCTTCCATTTTATGGAAGGGTACAAAGATGCTCAAAATGGCATATGGATTTTCAGGCAGAGAAAGAGACCATGCACCAGCCAATGTATTAATCACTTTACAAATATTACTCATTCAACCCTCAGAAAGAAAGGGACCTATTCTCACCCGATTTTTCAAATGAAGAAACTATGGCACTGAGAAGGTTCTATCTTGCCCATGTTTCCAGAGCTGGTAATTGGTGGATCCCAGATTTCAACTCAGATATTCTGGCTCCAGAGGCAAGGTTTTCAGTCATTGCTTTGCTTATCTCTCATTCTTATTAGCAGTAAAAACAAAATATTGATTATTAATAATATCTAATATAACACAGAAATGTGATCAACAGTGGTTTATATTTTCCAGAGCTTTATGTTAAGCGTTTTCACTTAACAAGAGTTCATTTATTTTTGAAACATTTTGCTGAAACAGGCACTGAGGCTCAAGCACTCACAAGCAGTATCTGTGAAAAGCACCATAGGAACCCCAGACTCATTACTATTGCTTAATAACGCAATGTAAAGAATAATAAAAGTGCTCCACGGTCCTTAAGAGCTGAACAGTGTAATTTTATACACATTTTACAAGGGGTAACTGGCTCAGAGAGGCCAGCAATTCGTGCAAGACAGCACATCAAGTAAGAAATAACAAAGTTACCATTTGCTTAATAGTGCTAACAACGCCTTGCTCTCCTGGACTAAAGAAACGCTTTCCTTACAGAAATTAAACTCTGATCGAAGGGAGGTGTCGACTTCACCCAGTCCTGCAGCTGCTTCATGGCCCCGGGACAGGTGTTCGGTTGGTTTGGCAACCTAGTCACTTGTGCGAGAGTCCTGGCCCGCGGGCACCTGGGCAGGTGGGCCGATGGGCGGTTCGGGGCGGTGGGTCGCCGCGGCTGCCCCTCCTCTGGTCCAACCCAGTGATGCTTGTCGCCCCCCACCCCCGACCCAAGGTCTCTGGGAAATGATACTGGGCTCTTTCCGAACACTTCCCCAAGCTCCGCGACCCCCGCGTTCCTCCTCGAGCGCCCCCATCCGCTGCCCCGGGCCCCCTCCCTGAGCGTCTCCCTCTGCTGCCCCGCGCCTCCTTCCGGAGAGCCCCCCGTCGCCCACGGCCCAGTTCCCGAACGACCTCCGCCCCATCTCCGAGTGCCACCCGCTGTCCTGGACTCCCCCAGCCCAGCGCCCTCCGCCGTCCCAGCGACCCCCGGAACTCCTCCCCGCCGCCCCGGGACCGCTCCCCGAGCGCCCCCCCATCGCCCCGGGCCCCCTCCCCGAGTGTCCCAGTCTCCGTCCCCGAGTGCCCCCACCGCCCCGGGTCCCTACCTCGCCGCCCCGGGGACCCTCCCCGGACGCCCCCCACTTCCCCGGGTCCCCCCACCAAGTGCCCCCCGGGCTCCCTCCCCGCGTGCCCCCACCACCCCGGGAACCCTCCTCGCCGCCCCGGGGCCCCTGGCGGAGCGTTACGGGCCTCCTCCCCGAGCGTCCCACCGCCACCACTCCGAGCCCCGCCGCCCCGGGCCTCCTCCCGGGCCCCTGTCCGAGCGTCCCGGGCCCCATCCCCGAGCGCGGCCCCCTCCCTGCACCCCCGCTGCCCGGAGCGGCCCGGGCAGGCGGCCGTGGCCGGCGCTAGGCCCCTCCCCGGCGGAGGCGCTCGGCGCGGAGGAAGCGGAGGCGGCGGCAGCGCCGAGACCTCGCCGCGCTGATGGCGTCGCCGGGGTGAGTGAGGCGCTCAAGGCCGCGCCGGGGAGGGGGCTGCGGGCCGCGAGGTGGGAGCCCCCGGGTGCAGGTGAGGGCGCGGGCCGCCTTCACTGCCCCTGGCCCGCGCCTCCCGCCCGGACCCCCGCCCTCCGGGCCCCGCGGCCCTCCCGCAGACCTTGGGCGGGCGCTGCTGGGCGAGGGGCGCGGGGGCGGGGGCGGGGGCGGCCGGGCGGGGGCCTGGGGGCAGGGCGGGCGCGGCCCAGAGTCCGGGAGCCGCTGGGCCCGCAGGACCCGGTGCCTGGCCGGCCGGCGCCCCCGCCCTGCCCTGCGCAGCTGTTTTCCACTTGCTTGCGGAGGAGCGGATGCCGGCCCTCCCAGCAGCGGGGCGCAGCCTGTGGATCTCAGAGGGTCTCCGGGGATGGGGGAGGCCCCTCGCCCGCCCGCGGGGCTTCGGGTCGGGACCTGGGTCAGTCCCGGGCCGCGGGCCCCGCCAGGGTGGCGGCCCCTGTTCTGACATAACCGCCTTCCCCTGCCTCGGTGCTAAAATGTTCTTTCTTGAGGAAAATATGGTGACACACCGAGTTTGTGATTTTTTAAAAAATTCCTTACTTTAAAAACAAAACCTCAGCAATTAACTATAATTAGTTTTTGTTTCCATAATCTAACTAGTCATGAAAGCTGAGAATGACAGTTAATCCAATACCTTCAGTTCACAGAGGAGGAATATTACCCTCAAGGTCATTGCTTTAGTTGGTAAAATTCTTCATTTGACTACTGTCCACATTCAGAGGGTCTTAGACCTGGCAGCTGAGGTAGCAGCTCCTGTGGGGTAGAGAGGAGGATGTCAGGCCTCTTACAGGTGGGGGCTGGCTCTGTCCTCAGCCACCATTGAGCAGTGGGTTTGTGATAACCAAGTGGTGGGTCTTTTACATCCACCTGCAGGCTTTCTGGGCCTGGGATCTCTGGTTATAAAGTACCCAGGACTCTGAGCTCATAAATAGAATAAACACTGGCCCATCCCTCAAAAGGCCAGAATGATTCCAGCGGGTTCAAGGTCCCACCATGTTCCGGGCTCTCTTGTCGGGAGTGGTTGAAGCAGGGTGATGTCTGCGCCTGTGATGCAGCTGCTACCCGGTCTTCCAAACGTGATGGTGCATTTAGACCTGGGTCAGAGGTGGAGTTAATGGTGGCCTAGTAAGCCGTTCTGTGAGCAAACAGACCCTACCTAAGTGGTGTCCCTGTGGCAGGTGGCATTAGTGTAGATTTGATATTGCATCATAGCGGGTGACCCCATGAGTCTGCAGTTACTACTAAACTGTAATGTTCTGACATGTACTCACTGCAAAGCTGAGGTCACAAAACTTTCATTTTCCTTTATTTCATTTTGTAGAGAGAATGATCACTCACTGTGGCATGTATGCATCTGGGGACAGTGCGTACCTCCAGATGTAACCCCTGGATGCCTAATGTGCAGGTTTCACTGGTAGGGCAGAGTCCAGCCAGCAAGACCTGCCTTCCTGGGACTTTCTGGCCTGTCTCAGTCAGCTGACCAGCAGACATCCAGCCCACTGGACTCGGTGCCATGGAAACTAGTCCTGAGCCTCAGGCCAGGGATGGGAAGGGGTCAGTGATTTCTGCTGGGCTGTTCATGGAGGAGCTCTGAAACTGCAAGAGAGCTGGGAGAGAAGGAAGAGACCCTTACTGGTGTGCTGGGCATTTAGCAGAAGGGAATGGTGAGAAGGAAGTCACCGAAGGGAAAGATACATTTGAGGTGACCCACAGCCCCATGAGTTTGGAGCTCCGTAGAGACCAGGGTGCCAGGCCAGACTGTGGGCCTGGCTCACTGCCCACCACTCACTGAGGGGGAGTCCATGTGACGGCAGCATGGCAGGGTCAGGAGGGACGAGACTTCTCACCCTGCTACCGTCAGCCCCGTCCTTGCTGCCCTGTGGCTGGTCTTCTGTGCTCTGCCAGTGCCTTTGCTGTCGGGAGTCCTGGGGGTTCTGTAGTCCCTTTCTGCTAATCCCAATGTGTTCTCTGCCAGATTGCATCCTTTTCTGTGGTGTTTTTTTTTTTTTTTAAGTTCATTTTTGAGAGAGAGAGAGAGAGAATGAATGGGGGAGGGGCAGAGAGAGAGAGGGAGACAGAGAATCCCAAGCAGGCTTCATGCTGTCAGTGCAGAGCCCAACACTGGGCTCAGTCACACAGACTGTGAGATCATGACCTGAGCCGTTGTGGAGAATCAGATACTTAACCAGTTGAGCCACCCAGGCACCCCCATTTCTGTGGCTTTAAATGTTGTCTAGATCAGAGGTTCTTAACCTGGGGTCCGTGATTCATTGGTGGGCTTTTAGGGTTCCTGTGCAGTGTTGGGGGTCAGTGTGTATGTTGGTGGGACCAGAGTCTGTAGCCTTTGTTGTCCACAGCCCATCCTGAAGGGGCTCTCACCTCAGCAGGCTTACAGCCACCCATCTATACCCACCTAGAGGGACAGCAAGTCTGGATTACCTGGGCTAAATATATTTATATTTCAGATTGTTAATGGCAGGTAATTTAAAAAACAAATTAAGTATAAAATGAAATAAAAAATGTAATTCAAACTTCCATAAACCACTACTTTTAAAACTTTGGTGTATTTTTAAATTTGTTAATGTTTATTTTTGAGAGACAGACAGAGTGCAGGTGGGAGAGGGCCAGAGAGAGGGAGACACAGAATGTGAAGCAGGCTCCAGGCTCCAAGCTGTCAGCACAGAGCCTGACATGGGGCTCAAACTCATGAACTGTAAGATCACGACCTGAGCTGAAGTCAGACGATCAACTGACTGAGCCACCCAGGTGCCCTTATTTTGGGGTATTTTTAATTAGGCTGTTCTTTTTTTTTTTTTTTTAATTTATTTCTAGGAGAGAGAGAGAGAGACAGCGTGAGCAGGGGAGGGTCAGAGAGAGAGAGGGAGATACAGACTCCGAAATTGGCTCCAGGCTCTGAGCTGGCAGTCAGCACAGAGCCCAACGCGGGGCTTGAATCCACGAACCGCGAGATCATGACCTAAGTGAAAGTTGGACGCTTAACCGACTAAGCCACCCAGGCGCCCCTATTAGGCTGTTCTTATCAGAGAGGCAGACTTCCAGATACATCTGTAGTTCCCTCCAGCCACCCTCACCCCCACCCCCCGCCTCACCCTCCCCATGTCTTAGCTAGGCAACTATCCTGACATTTTCCTTTGCATTTACACATTATGTTTGTTCTTTGCTTTGCCCCTCCCCCCCATTTTTTTATATTGTAGTAAAATATACATGACACAATTTTCTCTCTGGAGCATATATTTGTTCTGTTTTTACTTAAATGCTATCAAATTGTTCTGCAGCTTGCTTTCTTCACCCAACAGTATGGTTTGCAGTTCTTTCCATGTCAGAACCAGGATCAGGTCTATGTAAATCTTGACATTTATATCATATCGTGTGGCATGGTCACATTACGTAGTTAAGGAGGTTTCCAGTTTTCTCTGTAAGATGATGCCGCACATCACATCTCCCCCCCGGACGTGCACAGTATTTTTCTAGAGTAGGTTCAAAGAACTGGACGTTGTAGTAAGGGGGCCTGATACTACCAAAGTGTCCTCACGAGTGGTCATACCACCATCCTCTCTCTGCACCTCCCAACACATGACATCAGACTTTAAAAGTCTTGCCTGTCTGATGGAATTACTGAGTTAAGAACTAGGAAGCTGGGGCACCTGGGTGGCTCAGTCAGTTGAGCGTCTGACTTCAGCTCAGGTCATGATGTCACAGTTCATGAGTTCAAGCCCTGCGTCCGGGTCTGTGCTGACAGCTCAGAGTCTAGAGCCCATTTCAGATTCTGTGCCTCCCTCTCTCTCTGCCCCTGCCCCACTCACACTCTGTCTCTCTCTCTCTTTCTCTCATAAATAAGAAAACCATTTCAAAAAATTGAAAAAACAAGAACTAGGAAGCTAATGGCATCTTCATTCACCGAGTCTTTAAAGATAGAAACTTCCATGGCGCCTGGGTGGCTCAGTCGGTTAAGCGTCCGACTTTGGCTCAGGTCATGATCTCACGGTTAGTGGGTTTGAGCCCCACGTTGGGCTCTGTGCTGAGAGCGCAGAGCCTGGAGGCCTGTTTCAGATTCTGTGTCTCCCTC